CAACAAAGAAAAATGAGCACCTTTATGGTATCTTTAATTTGAGAGGAGTGGAGAGGAGAAATTTTTTTGACCATTCAAATTATAACGTTTTTAAATATTGTAATACGATTGATCAAAAAATCCTCTCCTTCTCTCCATTTCCTTTAAACCAAATAAATTATTAGTTGGATGAGGTTATGGCCACTAGTGATTTTGTTAATGCCACTAATATCATCTATAATTTTATTAGTATGTAATTTTTTTCTTAAATAGTTAGTATGATATTTAAAAATATTTTTTATAAACTAATTTTAATTTATTAAATAATAAATATTAATTATTTTATCAATTATCAATTATTTTTAACAATTAAATTGAAATCAAAATTTAATAATTTTAATAACTTTAACAAAAGTAATCATAGCATTAATAAAAGTAATGGGAATCATAACAATAGCACCTTTAACCCGTTGGTAAGTAAAGGTGGCAAACGGGCAAATTGGGTCAAATTCGAGATTAGGTTTACTCAGATCATGGGTTTTATGGGTTGAGTCATATACAGGTTGTGGGTTAAGAAGTATTGACCTTCACCAAACCCTAACGGGTTACAAGTTGACTTGCATGTTGAATTTTTTTTTTTATTTTATATAATTATTCACATTTTTAATATTAATTTATTAAAATTAAATTATAATAACTTTGATATGATTATTTTTTTAATAATTTTGCTTCTCTCTATTTAATTAGTTTAAGCAAAATGACTTATTTTTTTATGGAATATTTGAATAATTCATTGAATTTTTTTTTGTTTTCTTTATTAGTAATCATATATAATATGCAATACTTAATTTATAACTTTTAAATAAATATAATCAACTTCATTTAAAAAGCTTTATCGATTGTAATGGCTACCATCATATTAGATTTCTTTTAAATTATATTTGTTAATTATTTTGCCTTAAAAAATTATCTTAGAAAAATATATTCCTTAAAATTTTAAAGACAAATGAGTCAAACGGATCAACTTGTGAATCCATGAGTTAACCCATGTTTGACCCGTGACTCGTTCGAGTTAAACCAAATAAGCATTGGTCTAATACCACTTGACTTTAACCACTTTTTACAAGTTGGGTTAAAATCAAGTTAATGAATCGAATGTGATTTTATCACTTCTACTCTACCGATAAGGTGCATGATGGGTCGGGATTCAAGGTGCTACAGTAATCATTCCCCTTCCCAAAATTTTCCCATGTTAAAAATAAATAAATAACAGAGAAAATATTTAGGGGCAAACTAAATCCTCATTATCTTATTAATGAAGCCATTTTGATGTCTTGTACAAGCACAAAATGAGCAGCACACTGACTTACCAAAAATTAATCTACAAATTATTAGGCTGCTTAAGAAAAAGCTCATACCATTCAAGGCCACTTGGGCTTGCCCTTCTTGTTGAGCTTATGCCCCCTATAACAAGGGCACTCATGCTTGTTCTCATAAGTCCCAGAAGGGACGCACTTACACTCCCCCGTAGCAAATCCCACAATACTTGAGGCACCGATCATTCACAGCCGCCTTCTTGCACCTCTCCTTGCACTTTGCATCACAAAGAAAAATCTAAGAATCCAAAAAGGGAAAAAAAAATTAAAACCCAAATGAGAATATAGTTTAAGCAAAAGCTTACAGAACGATGGCTTGGGTGTAGCGGCAGCATTGGCAAGTTCCAAGAAGGTGGCGCTGGCGAGAAGAGAGAAGAGAAGAAAAGCGGCGAACAGGAGTTTCATTTTTGGTAATGTAGTATGCAAGAAGAGATTCTAGTGCTTGCTTAGTGAAGAGTGTAGGGTAGAGGGAAGGAGAAGAGAAGTGTGTAGAATGGAAAGCTGACCCAATAATGCGGAAAAAAAAAAAAAAAAGGATATCACATCAATAATATCTTCAATAAAATCGAAGAAACTACTTAAAGCTAGGATTAAGCTGAAAGAATTGTATGCCGTACAAAGTCATCATTAGTATTTATTTATTTACTTGCATATTTTTTTTGGGTGATTCAATAAATGTTATTATCCTTAGATCATACATTAATTAAATTGATTATGGGGATGATCAAATAAAAGGTTTGATGATCTTAGAATTGTTCAC